ACCAGGAGGGGGAAGCCTGGAGGGCTGCGGAACGCACCAGCTAAACGGGTCCGCAAGTCCAAGGCCGCGCCTGGGGAGGAGAGGCCTGCCCACGTAGGGGTCACGGGCAGAGAGGCTCCCTGGAAGTACCCACCCAGCTAGAGTCCGGTTTTCTTCTGGTGTCTGGCCGAACTCCTCTTACCCGCCGCCCCTCCCCCAAATAAATAAATATCTCCGAGGGCTGTGGACTCCAAGGGGCGCAGAGGTAGATGAACTTCCTGGAGCGTCAAAACTCCCCTCTACTCCTCCCCGCTGAGCTCAGGATACGGAGCGCGCTCGCTTCTCTTCAGAAAAGGAAACGTAGCTCTTCCAAAAATATAAATCAGCTCTGACGTCCAAATCTTTCTTTTGTCCTCCAGCATCCTCTGTGGGGATAAATAAAACCTGCTAGGCGCCCCGAGCCCGACTGGGGACCTGGGGGAGTCCAGACTGGTCCTCGGGAGGTGCTGCCTTTGGGGAGCCTTCCCTCTGACCCATCCCCCAACATTCCCCTACCCGCCTCCGCTTCCATCCTCAGCCAGCAGTTAGTCCCTATTCCGGGGGGCGGCCTGACCCCTGTGCGGGAGGGAGGAAGGCAGCTTCTCTAGATGCAACCCCGGCGCCTTAGAAGGCAAAAGGCCCGCGAGGCCGGCTTGAGGGGAAGGGATTACGCGGCGCGCGGGCGCTAGGACGGAAGAGGCAGGAAAGCAGGGGGCACCGCGGCTCTGTGGGCGGGCAAGGCCGCTCCAGATGGGCCTTACCCTCGAGGTTTCGAGTCCTACCTGGCGACCACCGGGTTCCACATCGGGGGTCTCAACCCCAGGGCAGCCTCGCCTTGGACAGGCCCAGAGGAAACCATGTTTGGGGCTGAGAGACCCCCGAGTGGACCATCTCTGGAGGCTGGTGCTCCACGAGAAGGAAGAGACTGGGCAGAGTCACAGGCTGTGTCCCCGGCTTGATTACAGGGCTTCTGAACCCACGGACCGTCTGGAAGGCTTGAGCCAGGTCATCCTCGTCCTCCCCCCATCTCCCGCCTCCAGTTTGGGAGAGGTGGACAGGGTTTTGGTCGGGGCTTCGAAAAGAAATCTATACCACGGGAAACCACAGGCAGCGAGTGTGGCTGAGGAGCTTTTGGAAGAATCTAAAAGGTGAAAGTAGAACACAATGTGGAGTAAGGCCTGAAATCGCCTCTGGCACCTCCACTTTCTTTCTGCTCCCCTGACACCCTGATGTTGAGAACCCACCAGCCTGTCTGCTGTTCCCCATCCCCTCCCCAAATAAATCACCCCGCGTCACCCACGCCGGGCGGCCTGAAAGGCTGCTGCGGAGGAGGGTTCCAGGCAAGGCGGCAAGGCGAAGTCTCCACCTGCAGGGGCTCTGCCCTCCTTT